AGAGTGGAGGGAAACTTGCGAAGATAAAAATGGCAATGACGATAACACAACTGCATGCAAGGAATTAAAACAATATAACAAAGGAATGATGCAAATGCAAACAGAAATGTGTTTCTACAAAGGTATAATCTTTAGATTTGTTAAATTTTCATAGTGTCTTCTTCATAGCATTAAAAATAGTATGCAACAATAATAGTAGAAGTTATGAAACCAATCTAATTTCAGTTATTAGTAATATTTTTACAGTGAAAAACTCTTTCTAAAAACAGTTATTGTGGTCTTTCACCAAATATTATGATTCTAATGTCCATAAAAATTTGCATTTTTTAATCCACTCACGTCGTTGTTATTTATAGTTTTTTTATTGTATATTTTGGTGTTTATCCAAAGCCATATTTCATTATTATGAGCTATGATAAAGTATGCTCTGTTGATTCAATTACTGGAGATATTCATGTCAGCGCAATTATTGGATCCAGTAAGAATAAATTTGACAATGCATTAAGATATAATGACATCGAAACTGATGTAGTTGAGAATGTGCTTTACTACATTGATGACAAAGACATCAAACGGGGAAATCTTGACTTGACTAGAAACGAAATTTTTGCGAAAAATGTTTCTGTTCGTGACATTACAGTTGACTGGATTGGTCGTCGTATCTTTTACATTAACTCCACGAACATTATCTACCAAATGTGTTTGCAAAAGGAAATTACAAGTGTTATGAGGCTTCAACCAGGCTTACAATTTTCGAGCATTGCATTTGACTCAAAACATGGGTAAGGCGATAGTGAAATTATTTTTATTAACTTGTAAACGTAAAATTAAGAAACTATGTCAGTCTATTGGAGGTTTTTTTTAAGTAAGCTAAGAGTTTCATTATTAGAGACGGCATTTTAGTTTAATAGAAAAGTTGAATTTTTGAAGTCCGTATTATGGCCTGTTATTTAAAAGTACAAGAATAGAAAAATATTGATTTTCGAGGGAAAACAAATCCCCTTTTTTCCGAGGGATCGACTATTAAGTATTTTTTTGTGTATAAAGAAACAAACAACAGCTTTTAAATAAAATTAAGGAGATTTGGCAAGCAAAATTTTATTGCGTGATTATGAGGCATTTCAAATCAATTGCAAGGATAAGCTCAGTTCGTGTGATTATTCAGCACACACGCAATAGAAAGAACAAGCAGATCCTGAAATTGCAAAAATCGACAGCGATATTTATGTTGAGCAACCAAAGAGCTTTGACAAAAATGTAACAACGGAGAAAACAGTGTTTATAATTGATGAAGTCGTTAAATGAAATAAAACAGAGAGATAGAAACTGCGATAAAGTATTAAATAATTACTTTACCGATGAAACTTTAGTAAAATGCTCACAGAACATTGGTTTGCCACAACCTACAAACAAAGAGTAGTCCAATTTCACTGTGCATTTTGATGTTGTACATTTAATAAGATTACTGGGTTCGGCTGGCCACCTAAGAGCGCTTTTGTTTATCAGAAAATACAATTTGCTTGACGCCTCCATGGTAATCATATGCTTAATAAGATATGCCCTACACAAAAGATTTCAACAGATTGGGAGCATTGTTTGTTGCTTTGCTGTGCCCTTTCATATACTTTAACCCTTTTTGAGGCAGTGTAAGAGATGTGCAACAATCTCAATACGAAATGGCAATAAAGTTTTAAAAAATTCACGAAGGTGGTGAACGAAAAAAATTCAACTTTTCGTTTTTTATTGAAGATAAAAAAAACTGCAAACATTCACACGTAGTTACATCAAAAATATGAAAAAGCATTTTAGTTTTCAAAAAATGTGGCAATTTAAAAAAAAATCAATATATCAAGTTTTTCAAGCCTTCTTTTAACTTGCATTGAACGGCGGAGTATATTGAAAAGTCAAGAGCTGCAAATTAAGTGTCTGCACACTACCCTTCAATAAATCCAATCACACATCCAATCAAATCACCAGAATTGAAAATCGTTCCACTACCTTTAGTTCATGCAGTGGTTCTTAGTGTAATTTAGGCAAACGTTAGATCTGTAGTTGCTCAACTGATGATGAATCTGAAGATAACAACCAAGTTAGGGATTAAAAAGAAATTGACTGAAAAGCCTGTAAAGCGAGGACTTTCTGAATATGTTATAAATATATTACGAATTTTTAAAAAATTCCTCTTCAAAATGAATCCTATGAACTCTCCATTCATGAGAGCCTTCTTACCAATAAATACAAGTCTTCACTCATCGTTCAATAAAGTTCCATTCTACTTAACCTCTCTAAGCTTCAGTATATTTTACTTCCCAACTTCTTTATCAAATATTCCATTTGACACCGCCTCTTAAGTCGTAATTTAACACCTTTTGTAAATACAATATCTTGTCTTAACACCTCATTATAAACTATAATTTGCCTGAATATGTCTTGACTAAGGACAAAACGTCAGTATGAATTCCATTTTACAACTTTTGGTCATTTTCTATGGCTCTAATTAAAACTTTATGTGGGCATTAATTTTTATCATATTACAAGAAAAAATTAATTTTCACAAACACAAAAACCAAAAGAACGGTAGTATATACGAGAAAGTTTTTAAAGAGTTCGGGGAAAGGTAAAATGAACGACAAGAAGACATGGACTTTATTGTTACTCAAATGCATAATATAATTTAGAAATGTATTGCAGAATGCAATTATGATGCGATGATAATCAAAACTGCCAGTTGCATCAAACATTTTCGATAAAGTAAGGGCCATAGAATTCAAGCAGTGTTTGCAGCTTGTCTAATCAAGAGATTCTTAAAAACACGAACATGACATGGCGATAGAATCAACATTTTCAAATGATACCAATAGCGCTAGCTCCAGTGTCAATCTTTTTCTGATTTTTCAGAAAAACAATGAAAAAATTTGACAAATAAAAACAGAAGGTTAAGATAGTTGTAAAAAATCGTTTTTCCAAACAAATTGGAAAAAAGTATCAACAAAAGACAATGTTTGTGAAGCTATAGCTCTTTTAAAGACATTTGTAGACGATGATCCATCCAAGGAGTTGCTACTTTTTATGCAAGATGAAACTGAAAAATTACGAAAGCTTGAAATTGAAATGACAAAGCTTTCTTAACTTTATATCTACATTAAATGGTGCGTATTATTTACCAACACCAAATTTTCAATTCGAACAAAATTTCCACGCATCAGCTAATTTTCAGCATTATCAATTACCAACACAATTCATTCGGCAGCCACTCTAAACTACAGCATTACTCATTCCGACAATAATCTCAGACAATACCAATCATATAAGTTATGTGAATAAAAATGACATATTACATTTATTATGCTCTGAATCACATGCAATGTTTAATTACTTCATATATTTTAGTTCGGTTTTAAGAGAGATTTCAAATGATAAAGATGATCTTTTCTTGTTAGTTACAATAGCTTTATGTTGCTATATTATCAAATTTCATGAATATGTTACATTAAACCGACTATATATGAAGGTAGTTCTGAATACTTTGACAACATCTTTGTCTAAATTAAAAAAAAACTTTTATCTTTCCTTTCTTGCATATATTAGCCTGTTTATTGTTTATGTATCTCAGTACGTATAGAAAACTAATGTACAAAACAAATATTTTATTAAGGTATCTATTCTTGGCAGAAAGTACAGAAGTTTTCTTATGGTTATGGAACATGACTGCAAATAAACATCATATTTTTCAGTTTCACTTCAGTCAATAGCACATGATCTAACGCTTGACATGGCAAAAGAGAAGATTTATTGGCGAGTTTCAAACGGAAATGTTTTTTCTTGTGATTACTACTCCCATAATGTAATTGATTTTGGAACTTCAGGAGGTCCCATGGCAGTATTTGGGGATTTCATTTATATCATGACTAGTGTCGGACAAAGTGTCGTTAGTGTCCATAACACAACAGATCAACGTACGAGACGTAAATTTTTTCTTCTTCTAAACAACGGTTATCTTGATTTGGCTGTAGCTATACACGGTATCATTCCTGACTCAAACGGTAGTTAAATTTTTACTTATTTCACATGATAATGTAAGACTTGCAAAAACTCCCACGCTAATGTACATAAAATAAAAAGACGTTAAAAAGTTCAAAGGTACATTGCCTTAGTAAACGGTTGTTTTTCCTTCCAAAATTATAGAAAATTTGATAAACATTAAGTTCAAAGAGCAAAGTGTCGAATTTGGACGTTTTTGCCGTTTGTCTATTCTTGCCAAACTTCTTGTGTGTTAAATTTAACTCTTTATTGTTTCTTACATCATTTCAATAATCACTCTGGCTTGTAATCAGTCCTAAATAAGAAAAAAATTCATGAAAATTGATTGAAAGTCAAAAACGTCCAATTTGAGCATGTTGTGCAGTGAGCTTGATGTTTATCAAATTTTCTAAAGTTCCAGCATATTGCAAAGTAGAGTTTAAACTTTTACATCTTTAGATTAAAATAGATTGAAACTTTTCATTTACTTTGTGTAAGCAGTTCAAATTGAGGCAATTACGAAGTACTCTCATGGTTTGCGAGATTAATTTTTGATTCATTTTACTTTTAAATAAAAAAGACAAGGCAATGCCAAAATACATGAGCTTTGACACATTTTGTGAGAAATATTGATGAATTGATAATTTTCTGAACATTTTTCAATTATCTAACCTCTTTAGATACATCCTATTTTAGTATCCCAAACAGCCAGCAAATTTGTTCATACTCTGTAAAGTTTCAAGGTTTATTTAATTGTTTTGTTTTTACGATATTCATGAACACCAAAGATACCAACATTACATAGCAAACTTGCTAGCTGGGTACGTCATAGTGGATACTGAGTGACAAATTGTGTTCTTTGAGGAAGAATATGTTTCGTTTAAAATCTCTGGTTGATATTATTTTTAATTTTATTAATATTTATAGCGACAAGCACATTTCGCTTTCCTTTATGTGGACCCTACACATACTATCGTAAAATGAATGGAACATTGAACTGCACGTGTATGAAAGGATACCCAGGAGAATGTAACTCTTGCCAAGGTATGGCTGTATTAGTGTCTTCTTCAAGATCTTTAATCACGGATCATGAATAAAGAGCATCTCTGTGCAGTTTTAAAACTTTGTTCTTTGTTGAGAATCTGAAGAATTCTCTGTGTTGCTATTGTGCAAGGAATTTGCTACATGTACATTTTACATGAAACCACAGCAATAAAGCTCACAGCCACACATACAAGTTCATCATTATTAATACAATCAAGCAGGAAATCAGTAATAAATTTATGAAAAGCTTCAATACACTTAAAACTACCTCAGCACACTAAATTGGAAGTATGTGGTTCTCTAAATGATATAGCATATGTTAAATATTTGTAAACGTAGATCGTCTAGGTTGATATAGTCTGAGAAGGACTGTTTTTTTTGTTGTTGACTGACGTTTCGACAACCTTAGTGGTAGACATCTTCAGAGTCATATGTTAACATCAACACATTTTGATTTTCTCTATATAAGGGAGGGGGTAGGTTTAGGCTTAGGGTTAGGGCTAACACTCGTCCTGCCGTTAGCAATCTAGCTATGGCCCTGCTAACCTAGATACACTATATTAAATAGTTTTGACTTCATGATGGGTTGGTTTCTTGAACTAGGAATTCTGTAAATCCAAACTATAAGAAGCATTTTGACCGACAAGTTTCCAGACCTCCTAGAATGAGCGCACCTAAAAAATATTACATAAATTTCTTAAGCCAATGATATTGTAGCTTTATAAACTTATTCCAAGAAATGACAAGTATGGGTAGTGTCCAATTAGTCATTAGGCTATGTAGGCTGAAGCTAACAGGCCCGCATTTTAAAGAATGCTGTTCTATTTAAACATAGTTTTTACTCTGCCATTCTGGATGAGCTAAATGTTCAAAATTTCAATCATATATGCTTTGTTAGACTTGCTCTTATTGTTTAAACCATTGAAAAAACATTTGAAATAAAAACATCCGAAATCATTGCTAAATGGTGAAACAGACTACAATGTTGAGTTTGCAAAGATCGTTATTTAATTCTTGCGTACTAGTTTTATTAAAGAGAGAAATAAAATAATAAGCAGATGGCTGGTTGGTCACTCTAAGACACTTACGGTCATAATGTTAATTTAGAGAAGCTATATACAGCAATATATGTCCTTTATCTAATTCTCTTATTTTCTCTATGATGATTAAAAGATACTGCTTAAAGGATTTTACCAAGAAAAACCTTTAACTGTTATCCTCTACCCTCCAATGAGCTAACCGATTTATAGAAAGCTGTAAAAGTCACTTAAATTTTTCCTCTTTGATAAACGTAGATCGTATGTCACTTTTGTAGAACTTAATATTTTTGTGAACTTTGCAAATGAGAATAAAGATGCATCTAAGATAATCCATGATGAACATTCTCTTGAAACTTTTAAAATAAAAAAATTCAAACTTTTAATTGCCGAGCTACAAACTTCTGCCTATTCACTCTCAGTGTGAAAGATATTGAAAAGTTATATAGTTAATAAAGATTGTCAATTATTTGCAGCTAAAGATGAAATGTTAATGGCTTAAAGACAAAAATTGTCTTATCGCCAAAAATAGTTTAACATATTCCGCTAATATTAATGTGGTACAAAATTTGGCCAATCTGAAAAAATGCTAGTGTATCTTGGTTCATAATTAAAGATGTCAACGCAATAAAGAACTAAAATGTAGGGAGTGGTCACTTTAATACCAAAAATTATCGAGAGTTATGTTTGGTAATAGTCATTGCCCGAGTAAATGTGTCAAAAATGAAACCTTAGATGAAGCTTCCACAAACTTATATAAATTTAAAAGACCTGCCTTTAAGCAATAATTAAATGCCATACCTTCTTAGCCATTCCTATTTACATAACTTCTTTGTCGGTCACTACCTACTGCTGAGCACATTAGGTCACAAAACATGAATATTCACGCATATATAGAAACATAATACTTTGTCGGCGGAAGACGGGATTGTTTAGCTTAATTAAAACAGTTCATAACGCGTAACTGAAAGAATCAACGGCATTTCTTAATGATTTGAAAATTGTCCTTGAATAAGAATCAGCACAATGGGAGTTATTCAAGTGATGTTTACCTATCGCGGAGTCACATGAAACTAAATTACTTTTCTTACAATCACGTTCTGTTTGTTGTCTTGAGGGACCGTTCCATTTTATTGAAGTTGGTACATGCTGTTTGATCCTATCACCCAACCTTTGCTCTACCTATTAGCGAGCATCACACTCACATTTATATTCATAAATTTCATTGCCTAAAAGTGTGTCGGTAGAGACTTTTTGGTGGGTGGTAGAATAGTTTTCGAAAATATAAAGATAACATTGATCGCAAAAAACAAATTATTCATAACATTCTTAGTTTTCCTTTCAATATCATCAGAAACCTTACCCATCCATGGAAGTTTGATCAACACAGGGCACTTAGCTCGTCCAAAATGCCTGTTCTGCTCATTTTTTGTGGATGAGAAAAGATTATGAAGCATTTATTCCGGATATCCATTTGAGAGAAACATCTTTTTCAATGAGTTGAGATCACCCTCAATGAACTCCTCCGATGACAGTCTAAGCGTTCAATTTATTAATCACTTCACTAAAGAAATTTTCTCTCTGTGTGAAGAAAAACAGTCAAAGCGTGTGTACAAAGCCGAAAAAGTTGCCTTGCGATTAATGCTTGTGAGGAATTGACCATTGCGTTTATGGACAAGAACATCCAAAAACGCTAACTGACAATTTGATTCATGTTCAAGCCTTTTGGACCAGCTATGTGCCCTGTGTTTATCAAACTTCCATGGATGGGTAAAGCTTCTGATGATATTGAAAGGGAAACTAAAAATATCATTGATAATTTGTTTTTTGCGAGCAATGTTATCTTTATATTTTTGAAAAGAACTATTCTACCACCCACCCAAAAAAGTCTCTAAAAAACTTTTAAGCAATATAATTTATGAATGTAAATGTGAGTGTAATGCTCGCTATGTAGGTAGAACGTCTCAAAGGTTAGGTGATAGGATCAAACAGCATGTACCAAATTCAATCAAAAATGGAATGGTGCCCTCAAGACAACAAACAGAACGTGTTTGTAAGAAAAGTAATTTAGTTTCACGTGACTCCGCGATAGGTAAACATCACTTGAATAACTCCCATTTGCTGATTCTTGTTTAGACGACAATTTTAGAATCATTAGAAAATGCCGTTGATTCTTTCAGTTACGCGTTATGGAGGATGTTTTAATTAAGCTAACCAATCCCGTCCTCTGCCGACAAAAAGATTATGTTTTTAATTTATCTTTGTTTTGAGCGTCATCTCCCCTTTTGGAGATGACGTACACTCTTTCTTGGTAGTAAAAATACCGATACATTGTAAATTTTCATTTAGTAGAGGTTGACACCTGAGGATTAGTCTGTGGAAATGCATCGTGTCATTTAATTTAGAACTATTGGGTTAGTGCTCTTTATTTAAAACAGTTCTTTTAAGATTTATCAACTTATAATATTGGAATATTTATATGTACATGCAACCTAGAATACTTTTGATTTGATATTTCTATAGATCGCAATATCTATATGCTTCTTTTTTTATCAGTTGTCAACTCTGTCAACCCTATTTTATGACTTCCCATAAAAAGATTACATAAGACTAGAGAAAAAGGGAGGCCCATTGACCATATTTTCCGTGGAGGAATGTGATAATCCTTATATTATCAGTTTTGTTACGATAGTTTACATTCATTACAGCTTTTTGAAGCTGTAGGCTGTAGCTTATGAGGCTACATTAATTTTTTTTTTCATATTTTAAAGACTATCTCTAAATTCACATTGCGGTGTAACTTTATGTCTTGTAATGGCATGCTGTCTATCTTAAAAATTCATTTCTAAATTCGTTTTTTATTGACTGATAAGGTTTAGCAAAAGCCATACCTAGTGAGCATTAGAAACGTATTTCTGAATAATTAAAAGACAGTTATTTAAAAAATACGATAAAGATTCCCACGTTCTAAACGAAGTGTCTATGTGAACAATTTACTGTTTACTGTTTATTTTTTGCTTGTTTCAACAAGTTATGGGGCGGTGTTGCCATATGGCAATAAAATCAAATGATTGAATTGAAAACCAATGGGGAAAATTTGCAGGTTAAAGGGTTAAGACCTGATTTATATTACATAAAGGAATAAGGACTGGTCTAAATATAATTTTTTTAGACTCATGAAAGTAAAATAGTGTCTAATTGTCCAAAACTTTTTGATTTTGTACTTATGCAAATTTTTTTTATCAATTTTTTTTTTACTATTTTAAATCATTAATTTCGCCCAAGAAGATTTTACAATTGGTCGGCTTTTACAACATGGTCAAAATTTAGCAGTTTCTTGCAGTTACTTACGTATACAAGATTTCTCGTTTGTTTCTCGATTTCTCGAAACAGTAAAATTTGTTTAGATATTTGCTACCTTTTTGCCTTCCCTGATATATGTTCACTTTACAATGAAAACATGACCAGAACATTTAATTTAAATATGCAAATGCATACAATTAAAACGACACTATAATATGTACAGTACAGCAGGTGGTAAAGTGCCTAATCATCATGCTTTAAGTTAAGAGTGGCACCAGATGAGTCCATGGGATTATAGTCTCCATGTGAGGACCTTCGGTACTCCCTCCACATCGGGGAAAAAGAGACAACTTGCTAAACAAAGAAAATGACTTGAAAACTCCCAAAGTCAGTGTTTGTTTTTTTTGAGTGTCGGCACTCAACATTATTCTATCTATAAATGTCTTTACGCTGTTTACCAGACTTTTTAATCCCAAAAAGAATTAGTTTTCTGATGCATACTTATGTTCTGATACTGCGAATCGCAATGAGTAATTCTTTATTTCAAAACAAACTTTAAATTTTGCACTTGCAACGTCAGTACTAAGTAGTCTGATCGAAGACATCAGTCTAATTGCTTGGATCTTAAATATATTCTAAACCTGTCACTTCAGAGCAAAATTCAAGTAGTTTTTGATGAGACTTCAAAAGTGGGGGATTGCGAAGACGAGATTCGAGAATGTGTGACTGTTTTGTATCAAAAAGTTACCGGAGAAATGTTTTATTAATAAGTTAGTTAGGGTATCTTTAATAAATAGTAAACATAGTTGACGTTTACGTCATTCAATGACTCAACAATAAATCTCCTCATTAAAACTTGCAACGTTTAAGCCCTCGCTTGAAGAAAACCCAAAAACAGCAAAAGTATCCTAAAGCATTTTATCTGTTTCTATTTTTCTCCACTATATAAAGATTCATGACTTTTGTTCTTTCTTGTTTAATTTTTTATGCTCTCTTCAATCTATATCATTTACCTTCCTTATATTTTTTTCCCTTGATCAACTTGGATGCATGCATATCATTAGTATCCCATATTAAGTTAAACACTACATCTCTTCCCTTTAATTACTTTGATTGTTTTTCTTTATGTAATTTATATGACGACGTCTTCGTATATTGTGTATATTGTATCTCTACTAGTTATTCGATTATTAATCTGCCTTTTCTTCATTTGCTTGTTTGGACGTTCGTCTCTTTGCAAGCCATTGTCTGGTTATTTTTACCTTGCTAAATGTTGTCTTCATGCGTTCTTCGATTTTTTCTCTTTGATTTTGCTTTACGTCTCACTCACAAAGACGGTTCCCTTTCATTTTTGCTTTCCCATCAACATTATAGTTTAAATGCAAACACATAGCCGTGGACACACTATTGTCCCATAACGCCTGAATATACTATAGTTGTCTATTTCTAAGGTTTCACAAAGCATATAATCTGGAATTATAACAATTATTTTTGGTGTAACAATCCATAGTTTGTTGTTTGCCATGTTTTGCATTTTTTCAGCATAAATAAATACAAAAAAATTAATGGAACGAAGAATTTCATAAAATATGGTGCTCAGAATTAACATAAATGTCCGATTTAAAATGTTGCTGTAAAATGGGGACAACACGTTCCAGATTATTCAAAAAATATTCTTCTTAAAGGAGAAATAATCTACAATATTTGAAATGAGTTTAAGGGCTTATTTTCATTTTATTCCAGTTTGAAAACTTTAAATTTTTTGCTCGAAACACTGGTAAAGCCATCCATAGCTTTCTGGTTGAAGCTTGCCTGAACAGCTGATTTTTGCGAAAATTCATTAAAAATGTTTTTAAAACTGCAGAACCTGAATCTTACGTCGTATTCAACATCAAGTATCCCTAACTTACGTTATAAAAATTGCGTTAATCCATGGCGAAAGACATCAAATTATTTATATTTTAATGGTGAACTACTAAAAACTGTGGGTCATTGAAAGTGGAAATAAGAGAACTTGCACTTTAAATTACTCATTCTACTTATCATTCGTGTTATATTCTGTGCCAACTAAGTCATAATTTCAGTTTTTTTAATCTTCAAAAAGGTATTTCCTTCGAGATTTCGAAGCTGAATAATCTTGTGAACGCTTTTTGGTGCAAGTTAATAAGCAAAATTAGAATAACGTGAAAGAGCATTATCTTGTGAATTATTAAAATTGGCATTTCTGCAGAATCAAAATGACATATTGACTATTTGTGCAACAGTAAGGTCAGTTTCTGACGTAGTTACTTGCTATATATGATGAAAATCACTCAATTAAGCTTATAGTGCTTAATGATGTATGCATCAAATGGAATTAATACGATGGTCAGTTACTCAGGGGAAGCAACACAAGCTTTAGATAAAGTCATTACGCCGGGTTCAAAGGAAACACATCCTATTTCTAACAGAACCACGTACTGGCAAGGATAACGCGTTAAGTCTTTTGGAGAAAATGATAATGAGTTAGAGAGAGAAAGTGATCGTTTTTTAGATTTGATTTATTATTCTCTTAGATCTTCCAATTAGAAGTATCCCAATATTTCAGATACGGACATATATATGGATGTGCGAACAGTGTCTGCATAGTGCTCAAGCACTTTCAATTATATCATAATCTTCTTTATTACGACTTATTTATGATTTACTGGTGAAAAAAGTAAGGACTTATTTGTGTGGTTAGTTTACGTATGTTAGATTATCACTTTGCTGACTTACACTAAAGTCACTCTAATTAGTTACTTTCATGATTTATACATAAAAATGTAGTAATATGAGCTACCTTTGTCAGAAATAGCCTAGAAAAGTCCCTTATTCATGAAAGTACTTCATGTTCTTATATTTTTAACAACTTACTAGAAAGTTAAATATCATATTGTCTTAGTAAGGTGGAAACCAAAGCTTTGGATGTGTTGATAAATTTTGCTCTTCAAACAATTTTGATCGTACGTTTACTTGTGAATTATTTTCTACCGCATGAATTTGTAAGGATTATTTAGGGACTCTGTCAGATGATAAACCTCATGTTATCATTGTAGAACTAATTGCTTTAACTGTCCAATCTTTATTAAGTAGGTGTAGCTTCTCCACATCATCTGCTGTTAGTTCATTTTTTTTATTTTATTCATAGTACAAAGAAATCATTGTCCAAAGTTATTTTAATGAAAGAAATTGCACAATTTCTATCAGGAGTCTGGTGTGGATGAATTAGTTAAAGTATTTCCTGGCACCCTAACATCCGATTTTTATGAATTCACTGCAAACCAGTGTACACTGCTGCAAGGTTGGCAAGTGTAAAGTAGATACCAACAATACCAACAAGTTTATTGAAATTAACTAAGGCAATCACTATGGCATAATTTTAATAGCTTTTTACACACATCTGATAAGGAGTATTGTCATTGGTACGGGTCTTTGATTTTACTGTCAAATGTATTAGCTTCATTCATATATTCATTATTTCATGCAGACAACCTTTGCTATTTCTTTGTTTGCTATTATAATTAAAACTAACGAACGAACAAGAATAAAGACCGCATAGTTGATGAGCCACAAAAATTAACCACTTGGCTAAATTGAAAGGTTTTACTGCAACACATTTTGGTACAATTTGGTAATATTAATTTTACAAATTTGGCGTCAGTTTAATGGCAAGCTTATTTATATTACGTCAGAAGGAAAAAAAGTTTTTTTCAGTACCTTTGTAAATAGACATGATTCTCCACATAATTTTATTGTAACTATTTTTTTAAAGTTTTAAACATGAAAAATTATGTTTATTTAGTCATATTATAAATAGAATAATTATAAAACTTGTTATTAAAGTTAAAAATTAAAAAAGCATATAAATAAAGTTATTATAATATTAAATTTTATAACATCTATACGCCTAAGCGGCTATGATGAAAACCTACAACAAATCGTATCCCCCCGCCCCCCATCTAAACAAATTAGGACTAATTTTTTTCATTACTAACATTAATTGTACATAAAACAAACATTTGCAAGAGAAAATTTTCACCCATTATTCTGAAGTTTTTACTTAAAGGGTTAATTAAATACAAAGTCTTATAATGATTCTGTAAATGTCGACAAGATCAATGAATTTTTGTTACATTTAAGTATGTGTAATAGCAATTAAAAAATTAATTTGAAACCAGGTCTTACAGCTAATTATTTGCTTTTTCTTTAACTGCACATAAGATCATTTTTAAAACAGCAAATCAATTACATTATTTTTTAAAACATTATAATAAATGCAAAACATCCACAAACGCTTTTTCTGCAAGCTTATCCTCAACTAAAGAAAGATTTATTAAACTCGAAACCAGTTTATTGTAATGCTTATTTGCTTAATTGACAAAAAAGTAAATTGCCACTAAAGATCAGCAGAAATATGCTCTTTAAAACATGAAAACCGTGTTTTTAAAGCCAAAAGTCGTTCACTTAACCTTACATAACGTAAGACTTAGCGAGCATTCATAAAATATCAAAAATTTAGAGTTATTCTATTCAAAAGCCTTATAAGTCATAAAACATTTTGCAAGCTTCAACGAAAAAAAATCCTCTGAAAAGGTTACTATAAATGTTCTTTAAAATACAGTGGTCAATTTTTAATCCAAACCAGTTCTCGTTTTCCCTTAGCTTCGATATTAATTTTATGAACAGCTTTAAACTGCTAGGCAGTTGAATGAAACTCACAATCATGTGACCAACGAAAAATTTTTTTTTCATGTTTTGAATGCATTTAACGTGCGAAAAAGAAAACATGTAAACTTTTTTAAATAGTGAATATGTTTTTTCCTAGCAAAAAGTTGCTCATGGCTTTACAAGAAAGGTAAAAGAAAAAGCGGAATCTGCAACATTGATCCGGACAATCAAGGCAGTTTTAATGTATGGTGTGACATGAACACATCTGGAGGTGGCTGGACCGTGTTTCAACGTCGTCTTGATGGTAGTGTTGATTTCTACAGAGGATGGCAAGATTACAAAAATGGCTTTGGAAATCTAACATCAGAGTTTTGGCTTGGATTAGATAAAATAAACAGACTTACATCTAGAAAACACAAAAAACTCCGGGTTGACATGGAAGACTTTAAAGGAAACACAGCATACGCCGAATATGACTTCTTTTCTGTTGCAAGTGAAAGGCAGAAATACAAGTTGGACCTTGGAACATATTCAGGTACAAAATGCTGATAGGTATCCAGTAGTCGAAGGAAATTAAGGAAAAAAAGTTTTGTGAGTTTTAAACTTTACCGATCCTTCCTAAAGTATATCTTTTCTCCAGACTTTAAACTTTTTTGTTGTTTTCAGTTTATCATTCAACACTTCAAGTTATTTTGCTTGTAATATTACGAAAAATTTCACTCATTTCTTAGTTGATCAGAAATTTTTGGATTGAAGCAAAAGGCTGAAATTTATCTCCATACCACTTCAAACCAAAACAATATTGTCAAATGTTAATCTTTTTAAAAAAATAAAGCGCTTGCAACAGTGTTACAAAAAAATTAGATTTTTAAGGTTTTACGAATCAAAATACAATTTCTTAAATTCACTCCCATAGTAACTAGTAAATAATACTTTCAAATGATTGTCTATTTGTATCAGACATTTGCAAAGTGCTTTACAACTCAATGTTTTGCATAAGTAATATACATTTTAGACTCAACTTAATCTTTATGATGACCTGAATTATTCTGTTCAAATTTTTAGGAACTGCCGGTGATTCGTTGAGCTACCACAAAGGAATGGAATTTTCAACAAAAGACTCTGACAACGATAAATACTCTGGAGACTGTGCAAGTATATATGATGGAGCATGGTGGTATAAAAGATGTCGTTTTTGTAATTTAAACGGGATCTATTATCATAGTCTACAGTCCTCTCGTGGTTATTGCATCAGTTGGCATACGCAGTTTTGGATCTTAAAATTCACAGCCATGAAAATACGACCTTGTTAATTTTTTCTTTAAGTAGTGCAACTGGCTTCTTATTTTTTTTTTGCTTTTAAAAATTTAATGCATGTGTACAAAATAGAACTAGGATTCACGCATGAATAAATACTCAGAACTTAATGATGTGCAAAAAATATTCCGCTTGAAAGGTTTCATTTTGAATACTAACTTTATCGTCAAATTAATAATTAATAGAGTGGCATACCTTACAATCTTTGAGTGCAAGCTATTATAAAAATTTTTAGTTGTTGTATGTAGTTGTTATAATTTGTAATACCTTCTGTTCAACAAAATACAAATAGTTTGTTGTCACAGTTCTTCATTTTCTTCAATTAAATTTAGCACTTGACATTTTCTGTTGTGGGGAAACAAGCATGAAAAATGCGTCACTGCGTCATGTGGACGGTAAAAAGCTTGTTTTAGTATGTTTCATGCAAATACTTTAATTTTTTTATTAAACATTATAATTTACCTGTAGTAAAAATTGCATGCAGAACATAAAAAACGTCTTCCACGAATGTAATGTAAATCTGCAAGTATCGAAGAAGTATTAGTGGAGAATATTGAACTTACATCGGATTATTAGTTAAATTCTTATCTACAAGAACGTTATGATATTTATTGATTATGTTATTCTTATAAAATCACTGAGCACATACTTACTCACACTAACTTATGAGCAAGTTTTATTATCTGCATAGCTGTTGCTGTCTTGACCATTATTATCTTGGTTATTCTTTATATCTTAGACATTCTCTGGACCGTTTTAGAACTGTCTTGACAAGTATTAATTTATTTGTGTATTTTAAACAGTGTACAATACAAGGGTTATTTGTTAAATAATTTGTCGTTGCCTACATTTTTATTAAGATGGCTTTAAATCTACATAGTACTATGTCTTTGAAAAATGTGATGTAATAAGCTTTCCTATTGTTGTATACTAGAACGGAAGGAGAAATTATTTACTGATATATAAAATAGACAGTTATTTTAAATAATGACAACTTATCACATTAAATGGAAATGTGTTTATATTTTGGTCTTTACTTATCTTTAAGAAAAGATTTGAAATGTTGACATTTATATGCGAGTTATATAGGTCTATATATAAGTCTGCGAGTTTTGAATTGTCATTGGTAAATTTAATAGTTTACGTATTTTGAAATTGGTCAGTCAAAAATTGGTGCAATATTGCGCTTACTGATGAATGAATTTACAAAGGAAGATGGAGGTACCAAAATATGGAATCATGTCATTGAATATAATTGATGACTTGATCTTTGTACACAACCCTCTCTTTGCTTTACTTTCGCTATCTAGACAGGCTATACAGGTCACATGCCCAGGAGTACAAGGACAGTTTGTGAAAGAAACATGGCAAATGGTTTGGTATGATTTTTTGTTATAGTTTAATACGCGCCTTGTAGATTTTGTTACTCTAATTTAATTTTATATTATTGTTCCTTGAAATCGACATTACAATAGTTATATATTCACACATCAGAGGAAATTACATTTTGTAACGATATAAAGAAAATCTTAACATACTATTTAAAATTCCCATTTTGACTTTATTATCGCTTGATTTGAGACAGGTCAAAATTTGAATAATTTCACGAGTTGTTTCTAGTTAGAGCAATAAGTACATATTTGGCAAAGTGAAAAAAAATTACTTTTTCATACATTCATCCCACCTCAAAATTGAGCTTAGAACGTTTAATTTGACAGAATTCAATGTAAAACCACGAAATTGTTTTGCCAGAACCGAAGGCGGCTCTATTTTAGGCTCAACACAAGTAGACTAATCGAAACAAGTAGTTTTGAAAACCAAGTTCAGCACCTTTGCACAAAGAGGGTCTACGCATGGTGAGAAAATCTTTACGAGAGACTCTATATATCTTTTTATTAAATGTTTCTCTTTTTATAACAACCAGAAATAACCAGCTGCTTTGCTCCAATAATAATTGCAAGACAAAATAGCATAATGCAATGTCCGAAATTTAGTGCTTTTAATGAGATTTCATGCTGTTATTTGAAAGTAAAGCAATTGAGCAAAGTTTTTTTCCTAGCAAGACAGTCTTCAATAATATACAATACCAAACGCTGCATTGCACAATGGAATAATTTAAATACACTTTTTAGTATACATACTGTATTAAAATTGAACAGTTAGACAAACATCATTAAATTCCTCACAGCGCAAAATATACAAAACTAAGTAAAATTGTTCCTGTGTTTGCAATCTTTTGTTCTTCTACTTTTTTGCATTATAACATAGTGGTTGGTAGTATAACACGACTTCACGTGGCCACCTACAAAAACCGTTGAAATTTTAACGTATAAGTAATGTGCAAACTGAACATTAAAACGATACTATTTTGCTTCCGGTACAATAAAAAGTTTCAACTTTAATAATATTTCTGCATCCAATAACCACACATGTTAACGGCAATTTGTAAAATTACATAAAATTGGGAGAGGACTAAAGTTTTTTTAGCAAATACAACCGCAAATAATAGCGTATATATGTGGTTGTCAAAATAAAGGGGAGAAAAAATTGTCATTCGGCGAGCCCACATCTTTCCGCTGACGTTCACAGCCAATTGCTACTCAACAGTGAAGTGACTTCTTTTGCTGAAACTGCTGCTCGATTGCAGGCTCGCTGAAATGAGTAAATTACTGATAAAAAACGCGCAAATTTCGTATTTCTTTGCTAAATATCTTGACTTCTACTTCTTTTTAAGTTTCCTTACTCTGAACAAGTCTTCCTTCTCAATACACCATATTTATTCATTCGACCGCCACAGGTTTTAAGGGCTTTGCCGTTTCAGGCATGACACCTATGTCAGTTTGTTTACTTTTGCTAGTTCGTTTCCTGTTTTATTTTTAATTAAGAGTAAATAAAGGACTCAAAAACTACAGAACCTGAAGACAAAACACGCGCACAGACACGCACACAGACAAAACACTCACGAGAATTTAAAGAGGCATGGTAAAACAAAGACAACAACACAATAAACAGATATATTGACATCCCCATCATCTATTCACAACTAAAGACAAAACCAAAACAACAAACTAATAACACAACGACTAAAATAAAACACTTGAGTTTCATTAACGCAATCCATACACCGAAACCGTGACATCGCATCTTATACCATCCAATAATACGAGCTCAACTACTAACCAACCAATCAGACGCTGCAAACGCCTACAAAATCTTTGTAAATAATATATTGTTACATTCTGACGAAGGCTCGAAGCACCGAGCTGAAAGCTTATTAAAAAATTTCAAAATAAAAATCCAGAGAATCCTTAATATTATCATAACATGCCTGAGTTACCAATTTTATATATATATATATATATATATATATATATATATATATATATATATATATATATATATATATATATATATATAGGAAGTTTATAATTTATGATTTTCCGTATAAAACAGTGCTCGATGCCCGAGAGCAGAGCGTAAATGTTGGTAAGGAGAGAAAATACACAAAACTACAATTTCATCCCGACAAGCCTGTTTCGTGATTGCTCACTCTCAGGGAATCCCTGAAGAGTGAGCAATTGTATATATATATATATATATATATATATATATATATATATATATATATAAGGAGAAGAAAATACACAAAACTACAATTTCATCCCAGGGATGAAATTGTAGTGTATTTTCTTCTCCTTACCAATATTTACGCTCTGCTCTCGGGCATCGAGCACTGTTTTATACGGAAAATCATAAATTATAAACTTCCTATATATATATATATATATATATAAATCAAATTTAAAATTTCCATCACGTGACCAATTTACCATCAATTTTGATTCCGTCAAGTAAAAATTTTCTTATAACCAAGATAAATAAAGTAAGTACAACTATCATAGTTTTTAAAGTTTATGGGACCATTTCTTCTATTTTCAATTTCACTACAGCGTAACTAAATATATATATGATTTCCCCGCCTAAATAAATATTGATGTTTACTTACGCGTTAATAGTACTTATAACGGTATAAAAATTGCATTGACTGCCTCCACAGACTAGGAAAACTTTCCATAATCGACAACTAAATGTAGTCGACAAACAACACTTTGGTGATTACAGTTACCTTTGTAAAAAATAAAAACCGCTTTGTTGTCGACAACTACAAATTTACACGTTTAGTTCTCGACAACTTACTCAAAAGACGGTATTTTTTCGTGGTCGACTACATCTAGTGGTCGAAAACAAAATACCTAGTCTATGGAGGCCCTAATTTACACCAAAATTTGGGGATTGATGTAGAGTGTCTTTCAAATTGCAGGTATAGATGTGTTGTTAATGCCAGAATGAGTCAACATAATGAGCAGACAAACTTCATTTTGTTTGCTCATTCAGGAATCATAAATCACAAACTTCAATTCAAATTGAATAACTTTTATTTTCAAAGATTTCTATTAATCAGATTTTTTTTTATAATCATGTCGACAACAATCCATTTCACGAATCTTTCCAAAATTATTGCACTTAACTGTCAAAAGTAGCAGCTACTACATCTTTCATTTTTATCATTAGCGACTATATGTACAACATAATTCAAAATTCACAGAACCTATTGTTGAAATGAAATAATCTCTAAAACAGTCTCTGATATTATATGATTGCATTGAATAGAATTGGATCCAAGATGTGTTACATCCTCAATTTTGCCATTATTGCATTCTCCCTTCTCCACCCACCACTCTAAGTGAGCCATTGCAATCATGGTCATTAAAGTCAGATGGACAATATGGATTACTTGGAATACACCTGTCAGCCATAAGGTAGTTATGAAGAACCACAATTGCTTTTGAAGCTTGCACTGCAACGTCAACCTCTGCTGTAATTGCACGACTGAAAAGTCTGAATCGTGAGGTGGAAATGTTAAAGGCACTTTCTACAAACCTTCTTGCACGGGAGAACCTGCAATTTGCAATTTCTCAGGGATCTGAATCTCTCCTCTAGGATAGGGTTTCATGAACAAATTTTTAAAAGGGAAAGCATCGTCTCCTACAAACACATATGGTACACTAATATTTGTCTTAGGTAGCAGTTTTGGGTGTGGAAAATTTAGTTTGTTCTGTTCCATAGCAACACCAAATTCGCTACTTGGAAAAACGCAACCGTCACTTAGACGTCCATAGTCGCCTACATCAACCATGGTAAATTGATATTTTGCATTCACAACTGCCATCAGGACAATACTGCGGAGCTTCTTATAGTTAAAAAACATAGATCCTGCTCGTGAAGGACACTGGATAATGATATGCTTACGCCAATCACTCCGACGTAGTTCGGGAAATTCCACCTTATCTCAAAGTCTTGACCTTTATCTAGCCATTCTTTGGACAAAATCGGAACATATAAAAAAAAAATTTCTGCGATAACAATCCACAAAGCTTTAAAAGTCTCCCTAATAATTCGTCCCACAACGGTACGGCTTACAAGGTAACTTGCTGCAATAGTTTGGGTGAAAAGAACGATAGCATAATGCTTTAAACAACAACTAAAAACAATAACGACCATATCCAGTGGTGTAGAAGGAGCCCTCTTCTACTTTTGAAAATGGTAATTTTAAAGGGGCACTATTAGCAAAAACGTTAAGAGAGCCCCCCTCTGATGAATTTAATTCTACAGCACTGACCTTATCTAACAACATTTGGGAAGTTAACCTTCCAATCCTCTTCCTTGTAAACGAGACAAGTCTATTCAAAAGCTGAGAGCTTTTGAATAGA